TTAGAGCTCGCGGCTGAGCTGAACGTCCCTCGTAGCTCTTGGCGTAAGCTGTTTCCTTAAGTTAGTGGTGTCATTTTTGGGTTGAGATAAAATGCGGATGCGGATGAACGGACGGATAGGCGGTGGATGGGCGAATAAAAAAATAAATTGCGGATTGCGGACAAAAACAATAAAATGCGGATTGCGGACGGAAAAAAAGAATAAAATGCGGATTCCCCACAAAAAGAATAAAATTCGGATTGCCCGTTTCAAACGTCGTTTTCAAACGTCGTGTTGTGTGGACTTATCATCTTTTTAATAACATGTTGTGAAAAGCTTTGATTAAATGCTTGTAAAATGCACGAGTAGGTTATTCATTTCGGGGTAGTATACTTTTCGTCGTTCGTGTAACAAGTATAAAAATAAGTTCTATTTATATTCGATACGTGTGTAATATTTTATACATATAGAAGGTTTATAATTACAAGTCTATAGAAACAACAATGCTCTCCAAACGAACAAAATATTTAGCATTTTAATTATTGATCTATAGTTTATTATGCTTTCTTTATGAGAGAAGCAATTTAGACACGACATTAATCTTTAGTTTGTGAACATGCAACTCTTAAATTATTATAGCGGTACACCGTACTCTCAGTGGCGTATCTAGGGAAAAATTTTGGTCACGCTATTGTATGCAGAGCCACGCTCTATGACGTTATGATTTCAATCATACGTATGGTAAGACATATATACTTTATTGAAGTTAATTGTACAAATTTCAAAATACAAACAAGCCACATGAAAGTTTCTAGCAAATCCAAATTAAAATTTCATTCTCAGATTAAGATCCCAACTTTATCATCACTTTAGTGGCCATGACTTTACATGCAGCTATTAAGGTCAACCGCACTAAATTTAAGGTAACTTTTACTTTTTTCACTGTATACATGATAATGAATGACATTATGTTAAAGAAGAATGTATAAGTATGACTGACCTTAAAACTTTTAAATTCACAATAAAGCCATAAAATAATAATACAACCACAAAAATTCTGATATACATGTACATATCAAGTATGAAGGAAAATTCAATTTTTGAACGGTCACAATATTCTATCGTCACATTTTTTTGAGTTTAAAATCAAAACATTTATAAACCTTCAAACATTTTCAACTCTTTTAAAATAACACTCTTGAGCTATATATTTATAACTATGCATTACCATGAGTGGGAAGCTTAGTGCAAATACAGTGATAATTAACATTATCTTTGCATTTTCTTGTCAAAAGACAAAAAGCACAAATAGCTTGCAAAAAACCTTAAAATGTGAACTAAAAATGCAGCTTTATACAACAAAATCAGTGTGCGAGTTAAAGGATATTTTGTTTGCAACAATGCTATAGCACCATTAAAATGAGCAGAAATAGTAAAGATAACATTATACGTTTTTACACAGATATAGCAACTCAATTCTTTCTGTCAAAACTAACATAAACAAACCGAAACTGCCATTCTGAAAAGGCAATACTTTTTAATAGGACAAATAAGACGCAATTATTCTTTTCCGGGTGCTTTAGTCAACTCCAAGTTACTCAAAAAAACTGCAACTATCATTTTAAAGTTTATCAAGTGTCATCATGTTTAGACTATAAATGAATATATTTAAAATGGCTAGGTAAGATCCCTGTTAAATGCTCATAATTTTCAAATAATTATACAAACAATGCAACCAGGTTTTTGTAAAGTGAAACCATGCACAATTTCAAGAAATTTACAAAAATTGCCTTTATGAAACCTGTCATAACGCGGTGAAAATTTCATTATGCACTTTGTATGCAAACTATTGACCAGACAATAAATTTCAATCGGCATTTTTATAGTCTACCCATACCCCTTCATTATACGCTTGTATATGCAACATGCCTGCGTAATTTGTAAAAGAAATGTATAAAAGGTGCTATACCATAAATATTCATTGCCAAAGTCTCTAACTTAAAGAGAAATGTCGATTCAGACTTCATGCAATGTTGCAATGTCATACTTCTCTAATCTGAGAGTGTCTGCGTCCATTATGTTAAAGTACCACAAATACTAGAAACGCGGCAATAAAACATAGCCTGCTTTGAAAAGTACAATAGAGATAATCTTTATTCGCAAAAAATAACAGCAACTGCAAGGAGTTTAAGCTATTATAGAACTATATATATATCACCAATATGTTTGAGCTTTAAATAATTCATTGTTCGTGAGCTTGTCGAATGGAGAAAAGATCGTCTTTTAGGAAGCCATAGCTGTAAATCTCACCTCAACATCTGTAAACTTAAGTAAAATACTAGCGTGGGTATGTGAATCCGTTGCAAACATGTTGAATATACTTAGTTTGTGCCGATTTTTAAGTTGAAGGCTCCAGTCGGGCTTTATAAAACGAGCGCAAATAGATGTTCTAAATCTGCGAGTTTGAGCATGCTTAGATGACATTAGCCAATTATATTAGGATTAATTTTTCTATAAAATGTATGGTATGGTCGGGTTGAATTTTGAGAGCCCGACTAAGCTGCGAAAAGCATAGAACGGCACACTGTTGCTGCTCACTGAATGCACATTTTGAGCTTAATTAAACCAAAATCACTATTTAAAGATTTGGATCATCCTCTAAGCATCCCTAATAAATTGATTTAAGCTGTTTTGAAATTTAAACTCAATTGTTTTAAATTTTTAGTCGAACAAATTCTTTCTTCTGATGGAATTGAATTTTTTGTCAGGCTGAGCCCAACCAGCGTAACCTCTAAATATCTCTAGATGCGTACTCTACCAAAATATCCAAACTTGATCTAGTACTTTTACTTTTTCGACGCGTGTTGAATTAACATTACAACGTCTGTTGCCTATTTATAGTCTGCAAACTGAATAGATTATAACTTACACTTTCTCACGACTGGAAAGTTCCTTTTCTTGATGAATTGTGAAAAGCACAAATTACAAAGAATATAATTACACAGAAGTAACTCTTGAAAATAGTCATTAAATTACATACACTCGAGTTGAAATCTCGTCCAAGTCACAAGTTTTTTATGTGCATACGAAGATCGTGTTAGGATTAATATTACATACACTTGAGTTTGTTATTTACTAATGACAGGAAGAATTAGAGAGCGTATCTTAATATTACTTTTACTTGACATTTGAATATCACTTAGCAATATAAAATTTACATCCGTCATGGTAACTTTTGTCCGATGTTTTCATCAAAAACGCCGTCCGATTGATTTATCTAACATAGAAGCCACGTATGCTGATATAGTGATAGCTGATGATTGAACGCCAGTAAGAGAAGCAAATTTATTGTTAGCGAATGCCACAAAAGCTTTAACACATTGGATATATAGTTGATTAATTAAATTAATACATGCTTTGTATTGCCAAGCGATGATCAAATGTCAAGTAAAAGTAATGTTAAGATACGCTGTCAAATTCTTTCTGTCATTAGTAAATATCAATCTCGAGTGTATTTAATATTTATCCTAACGTGGTCTTTATATGCACATCAAAACATGTGACTTGGACAAGATTTGAACTCCAGTGTATGTAATTTAATGACTATTTGCAAGAGTTACTTATGTGTAATCTTGAAAATATTTTTAAGAGTTCCTAGTAGTTTTCCGTTATTGTAATAAACCATATTTTGTATAGAAACAAGTACATTGTATTCTTTGTGATTTGTGCTTTTCAATTTACTTTTCTAAATTGTCTAAAAAGAGTTCACTTTCTATCACTGCTTTCTATAACGAACTTTGCTTAACTTTTTTAAATACACGCGGGAACGTCATATTCGTCCAAGTCTTCCGCGATGTCTCACGACGCCGTTGTCGGATAAAACTTAGTTTCTTAAGCCCTCTTTTGTCTTAATTGCACTCGAAGGCAAGTTAAATATTACAGCATAAATTTATAGTCACCCAGTACTGAAAACCAGGGCTAAGCTGTGCAAATTAGTTTATTAACAGATTACACCGTTTTATGCATGCTAGGTAAGCTCACATTATGATGCTAACACATTAGAGAAACATATACGATAGACTCTTGATGGGATTGTGGATAATGTTTATTTTTTTAAAAAAGTATTGTATATGAATAGGTGGTATGCAAAGAAGTTAAATGCAGTTGAAACTTGAACGTTAAGGAACAAAGCTGTCCCACGACCAATCGACGATATCTTTTTCAAATTTTTTTTTGGGAACATCGTTTTCATTATTTCAAAGGATACGAAAATGGAAAAATGTCTTGAATACATACCATGGAAGAGTTTTCCCTTGTTTGAAAGAATAGTACTTAGTTTGTTTGGTATGTTTGGTGCCATTGGTCTTGGTATTTCAATTAATTTACATGGAGATACTTTATTCATTTGTTACAACGAGATAATATCAGAGACTAAAGAATTTTCTCTGTTAAAGAAGGTTGAATCGACTTGCTTGATACAGTACAAAAAGGAATCAACTTTTAACTATCCTATTATCCCTGTAGTCTGTTTGAATTTTGGCACTGTCTTAATGCTGAGTCTTGTCTATGGATATTTAGTAAAGCGTCGAATTAAAAAATATGATGGGTTCAATCCAAAAAGGAACAGCAATGAATATAATGAATATCTACTCTCAAAATATTACCATCATGATTCTATGTCTGATGTTTGTAATGGCTGTGCTTTCCTGTTTTTTTTTTACATCGCTTATTTGATTGCTCGTCTTGTTATGTTGTCTATATTTGCTGTTATATTTTTCTCAAGTAAATATCCCATCGAATACTCTTGCTTTTGGCCTCCCAGTCTTCCCACTTCATACAACGTAACAACACTTAATTGCACAAATTCTAACGGTGGTAAAAGTGAAAATTTAGTCCTGGTTATTGCGTCTGTTGATTTCATTGTCATGACAATAACAACTGTAGAGTTATGTTACCTGGCGTATGCTTCTTTCAGTGACAATTCATTTACAAAAGACAGAGAATTTTGTACTGTTTATTTAATGAAAAAACGTGAAGTTATTAGAAAATGGTTGGAAAAGATCAAAAACGATTTTTACACGTACAGAATATTTGAAATACGCGACGACTATGGTGATGATGAAAACTATTGGAGAAAGTTCGATGACATTTATGTTAACGTTATAATGCAAGCTGAAAGACAGCTAGAAAATGCTTATCCAGAAACATTCAAGAGGCACGAAATATTTAATTGTCATCTTAAAATTCACGAAGATGCTAAAAAACTGACGAAAGTGACAGAAATTTTCAAACCAAGTTGGAAAAAAACAGAGCAATCGTTTCCGCGATCTATTTTGGTTATTGGAAGGCCAGGAATTGGTAAAACTATGTTGGCAAAAAAACTTATATATGAATGGAAAAGGAGTTCAGATGATTTTTGGCATGATAAACTCGCGCTTCTAATTCGTTGTCGTACAATTGCATACGATAATCTTATTACTATCAAAGATATGCTGAGTAATTGTGATGGATTGTCGAATGAACAGTTTGCACAAATCTATGATTTTATTCAGTCAAATCCTGATAGAATTATTCTTATTTTTGACGGGCTTGATGAGCTCCCTCTGAACAATGAACGTCTTAGATTTGTTGGCTCAGTGTGTGCTGATGCAAAATTGCCAGCATTTACCTTGTTAAGTATGCTAGTCGAAAATAAATTGCTCCGTAATGCCACAGTTCTAATAACATCACGACCCACAGCTGAATTTGCATTTAAGTCTTTAAAGTTTGACAGAACTGTCGAGATCTTGGGCTTTTTCGAGGACCAAATTATCGAATACGTTGACAGGTTTTGTGGAGAAGATAAAAACACTATGGAGCTGATTTTAAATTATATCAAAAGTTCTCACGAACTGCGTAGTTTGTGTTATATTCCTGTCAACACTTACATCATCTGTCTAACGTTGAAAGAATGTTTTATCAATAACTCAAAGGATATTCCGAAAACTACCACTGAATTATACAAAAGAGCAGTGAAAATCTTACTATGGCGTCACCATCCTCGTTGTAAAGCTGGATTGATCCCCAAACCTAACAGAGGTTATCTTATCAAAGATTTACCTAAAGAACTTGGGGAGGACATACAAAAAATGAAAAGTCTAGCAAAAAAAGGAATTGACGCAGGGAAGTTGATTTTTGATGAACCTAGTCTCGCTGAGTTTCCTAACTTGGCCAACTGTGGCCTATTTCATCAGATACCAGATAAACGACGTGATCTTTACTGTTTTTTACATTTGACACTTCAAGAATTTTTGGCTGCCTGGTTTATTATTGGTGACTTGCAAAAAGTTGGAAAGTTTTTGGACGATCATGTTAAAGATCCTAAGTGGCATCTAGTGATAGAGTTTATTGCTGGTTTAATGGGGGACGTTAAGAGAAAAGGAAACATCATGGATATCCAAGCTGTAAATGATGTTGAAAAAAGGTATGATTTTGAATTAAAGATTTCTTTCATGAGCGATTAATTATGCTGTCGACGATAATCAACATTTTTTGCACATTGCTTTGAAAAATACATAGTTTTTCATTTGCTTTACGATTGCTTTTCCATTGCCTTAAAAAGTTCAGTTGGCAAGGAAATTTTTTCTAGAGTACTTTAAAAGAAATTTTTTACGTATTTTTTACGTTTGTAGACTTAAAACGTGGATCACTCAGCTGACTCTTAACGAAAGAAATCAAACACTCGGTTTACTAGGTGTCAAGTGTTTGTACGAGCTGCAAGATAGAAATATAATTAAATCGGCTTGCAAGGCACTAGAGAGTGCCGTGTCAAGTAGTTGTAGAAGAATAACTATTGCTAATGTTTCATTTACACCTGTTGATTCTAACTCACTTTTTGAATTTTTATCAGAATGCATACACATAACTAAACTCAGGTTTAGTTTTTGCAAGTTCCTTGATAATCATAGCTGTCTTAGAATGAAGCTTTTTTTGTCAAACATGATAGCGAGTGACTTAATTTCTTTACAGTTTTTATCATGTAAGCTAAATTATCATTTTTGGAAGTATCTTAGTGAAGCTTTGAAGAGTGAGAACTGTAAGCTTACTGAATTGTGCATAAATGGTGACAAACTAACAAATCAATGTGCAAAATATATTAGCGAAGCTTTGATAAACGAGAACTGTAAGCTAGTTAAATTAATTATTTATGATAATGAGCTAACTGATCAAGGCTTAAAAGATCTTAGTAAAGCTTTGAAAAGTGATCGATGTAAACTCAATGCGTTAAATATAAGTGATAACAAAGTAACAGATGAAGGTGCAAATTATGTGAGTGAAGCCTTAAAAACAAAACATTGTAAACTTAATAAATTAGATATAAGCAATAACGAAGTAACAGATAAAGGTGCAAAAGATATTTGTCAAGCTATAAAAAATGAGAATTGTAACCTAACTGAATTGCATATGTGTGATAGTAAATTGTCAGATCAGGTTGCAGAAGAACTTGGAATATCTTTAGAAAGTGGGAAATGTAAACTTACCAAATTGTTTCTCAGTAAAAATAGAATAACCAGCGAAGGTGTCAAGCATCTTTGTAAAGCTTTAAAAAGTGCAAATTGCCAACTAACAGACTTGTATATTAGTGAGAACAACATAGCTGATAATGGTGCAAAATATCTTAGTGAAGCGTTGCAAAGTGAAAATTGTAAATTAATTGCATTGTGTATTAGTGTAAATTCACTTCAAGATAAAGGAGCAAAATATCTTAGTCAAGCTTTAAAAAATGAAAATTGTAAACTGTTAAAATTGAATATTCGTCATAACAATTTGACAGATCAATTTGCTCAATATCTTTGCGTTGCTTTTAATAATGAGAATTTTAAGCTTTTTACGTAAATTTCCTATCACGCATGTATGATTGCTATAGTCTCTGAAAATAACTTGGTTTGTCAGTTAAATCAATGGTGGTATATGAATAGTTATTCAATAACGCGGGATGTAATTCCGGATATATTGGCGAAACTTTGAGCCATTTATTCCCCAGAATCAGGGAAAATACCACAACAGACAAAATCATATCAACCGACACCCTTTTAAATTTCATTCATTTAAAACAAAGTATTTGCCCTTATGCTTCAAAATCATAGACCCCGCAGACACCTTGATCATTCTCCCTTAATACCAAAGAAGCACTTCACATTAACATAACTAACTCTGACCTCAATGTTCAAGTTTTTAGATTCAACACAATATTTAGTTGGTTACACGCTCCCAATTCATTTATCTCATTTCCTTATTATAGTTATAATTTATCCCTATTTGTATATTTATGTTACTGTATTATGTTACTTTTATCTAAACTTTGTATTAATAATGTAATTAATCACTCATAATGAAGATGCCATCATGAGATGTCGAAACATGTCTATTTTCAAAAAATTTGTGGTCTACATTAAATGCACATTAGCAATAGTGCTTTTACGAATTTATGTTTTTATTATTTTTTATTTTAATTTACATAGCTAACAAGCGTTTGCCAAGCTTTGCTATTTGATTTTATGATTCAATTCTTTACTACCCAAGTTCTTGGTCCTTTGAATTTTTGATGCTTTGAAGTGCTACCTTTGATGTTGCAATTTGGCAACACTGGGACACAAAAATTCAATCCTATAATCTGATTTTTAAAGAAACAAAAATGCATGTCACCTATACCAAACAATTAGCTTAGACAGTTTCTGAAACGGTATTTTTATAGTGCAGTTAATTTCGTTTTTTGGTCACGTTCAATGGAAAAATTTCAATTCTGTGATTTCTAAATTTTTTGATTTTGTAAAAACTTTATTAATGATAGATTTGTTTCAGTGAGCAAACAAACTAAATTTAATATTTTGGCTTTGAAATTGTAATATAGCTTAATTGTATGAAGATTTTTTTTATTTTCTTGACGTCTCGAGTTTGAAAGTTTTATTGAAATAATGAACTTTTCTAAAGACAAGCTGCAGCTTTTCTCCGGCTTTGTATATTAAACCTTGTTTAAGCACTGTTCCGTTTATGATGACTTGTCGATTTCTTTCTAATAGTTATACCTCGCCTACTTGGAAAGCTCAATTTTGCTCTATGGACTTTACCTATATTAATAATTTTTTCACGATTCCGAAGGGGTAAAAATCGAATAGTATATATTCCATCATCATTGAGGCTTTCATTGAATCCCAATAATTCAGATGTATGATGGTGCTTTATTTGAAATTGCAGTTTTCCTTCCCTGAGGAATCTATCCTTGGCAGTTGAACATTAGGTCCTTTAAGTTTCTTAATGACAACAGTTTTTCTGCATTGTACATTGCTTGGTGTATAGACCTATTACTACGACTACCAATTTCAAGCATATTTTGCACCAAACTCTAGCTGAAAGTAGGCAAACTATGGTCAAAGTTTCTTTTTTTCTTAAGAGATGGACGTTTAAAGCTATTCAGCGCGACATTTGTAAATAATACGCTTGAAACGCAGACACTAATTTTTTCTTGGAATTTTACCTTATTATATACTTAAAGTACAATTCCCAACGCTCAATATATACTGTTGCAAACAATCAGCAGGGAAAGATAGTTCGCATGCAACGACAAATATCACATTTATGTCACGAAGTAATTCGATTATTTCAAGTTTGTTCAATCTTTTTTTCCGTCAGTTCACAACAAATCTGTTTATAATGACCCTTGGTCGCAGGAAAAAACGCGGTTACACCAAAAAATTACGAGTTGCAGGTTTAAAAATATTATCTTGAACAGTATATAAATGAGCAAATAATTTTGAATGCAGTAAGTAATTTGATAAGCTAATCTTTAGTAAATCTTTAGTAAAATAAGAAAATATTTAGTTCTATATGCATGCATACACACTTGATTGCACACTCAAGTTATTATCACTGCAAACTGGATGAAAAAAGTTGTTATGAAGTGTTGTTAATTGTAAAAGTTTCAAAAGAAAAAAAGCGATTTACGGTATTTTTCGGTTAATTGGAATTGGTTTAGATGCATGTCTTTTGGTAAACCAATATCTCATTTTTTATTAATAAAAGCAATAGAATGTAACAAGAATAAATAGTTACATATAGTTGTAAGGGTTTTAAACAATGTAAATTTGAAATTATATATTAAAAGTGTGAAAACACGTATGTAATATCTGCTCAGACGCTTTACGTTCATAGTTATTTTACTGTCAGTATCTGCCTACTAGTGTAATATTATTTGTAGTATTTGAAGTTGATGTACATCGAATTGCTCTCTTGTAATCGCGTACGCTATTTTGTAAGGATATTATAACATATTATAACGGTTGGCCTATTTTGATAGGATATATATTATAACATATTATAACGGTTGGCTGGGCTGAAACTCAACCCGGGCTGAAATTTCTCCATGTAATTGGCCCCTAAAAAATATTCAGACGTAGGTCAATGCTAATTATGTTATCCACCTCAGCTTTGCTTATGCTAATGACATTGATTTGGATCTGAATAAGTCTCGATATCAGAATCAACCATTGAGTTCTGTAAATCCTGGAGGGGAAAAAGGACCTGAACCCGTTGAAAACATCCACTTTAAAATTTTTTTTAATATTCACTCTCTCCTGATTTATAAGATTTTGCAAAAACATGGCGTTGAATTATCACGGTACATGTAAATTGATGTTACGAATATAATTCAAGGAAAGAAACTTTGAATATTTTTGATAGCAATCAGTAAAGTTGTTTTAAATTTTGAGATTTAGCTGGTGATTAAAACCTGCGAAAATCAAAGATGTCAATATTTAACGTTTTTCAAAAACACCAATTCTCACCTTAACTACAAATGTTGGTAAATATTTTCATTTGACTGCCTTTCTTGATTAAATTGATTGGTCATAATTTAAAATTTGGGCAAATACTTCCTATCAAATGGCTCATGAGAGGTTTTTATAAACTAAAACCATTGCTCTCGCGAGATAACTTATTTTGAGTGCGAGCACTGTAGGGAACTATAATGCGAACAAAAACTAGGTGCCTTGAACGGATATTAGCCTCAAGAAACCCATAAACTTACTCTATACTTAAATTTTCTTTTAGATTTATTAAGTGAATATCAGTTTCATGCGATATATTGCTTGTCTGTATTCAACTATATGGTGAAAATTGTGAATTTCTGCAAAAAGATAAAAGCAATCCATATAATAATATGTATGTATAAAAGATAAAAGTTTCTCCAAATAAAAGTTTTCAAACTTAATAATATGTATGTATAAATGTTGTGTGAAAGTTGGTCTGTATCTTATTATAACAGGATACTGTTAAAGCAGTTGTACCAAGTACATTCAAAGGAAATTAAAAAATAAAATGAACTTGCCAAAGTAGAAATGAATCCAATATATATCAAAAGAACTATGTAGAAAGATGAATAAGATAAATTGTAATGTTTAATGTAATATAATAAGCAGATTAACTATGTGTTTCAACAAACTATATTAATTTGCCTTTAAATTGGCAACTGTTAAAAACATTGGTTACTCTTTTTTGAGAAGACAAAATTTTCCTGTATAAATAGGGCACATTTCTTTAACATGCCCATTTCTTTTGCAATAGCGACACATCATTCCTAAAAAGTATTAATGTTTCAGATTTTTATATTAAAAACAAGAGTCTATACTACAAAAATGTGAGCCTACTTGCTCTGCATTAGGCTATGTGGTGCCCAAAAAGACCACACTTCTGACATCTGCCTATGGAAATTGAAAAAAAATGTAATTCTTACTACAAAGTATTTAACTAATTGAAATCATAGTTTTGGCTGGGCCACCACCTCTCTCCATAATTGCATGCTCTTCTTTATGTGCTGCAATTGGAAAATATTGTCTATTAAAATAGAAGTTACTACAGCAGTCTTTAATGAATTGCAATATTTTACACCACAAAATAAAATTTGTTTCTTCTATCTGTAGAATAATAAAAGTGTAATAAACTTTTGGATGGACCAACACCAGTCCCAACTACACTAGTAGTGCCTTTTTCTTCATGTGCTGCAATTGGAAAACATTGTCTATTGCAGACTTCAAATGCATTTGAATGTTTTCACTGTAAAACCTAACATTTCAAAATATAATAGCATTTTACAGTTTGCAGTACAGAATAGGGTTGCCATGCTTATTTCTTTGTTGTTTAATTATATTTCATTGCCAATTTCAATATGATTGTACTGGCACTACTGGAAGTTTTTTTTGTGGTATGAGAATTGGTAGAGATGCCATACGATGACCACATGATTTTTTTGCAGTCTATTTCGATGGTTTGTAGTAGCATCCTCCACTTCTGCAAGTAATTTAAGTGTAAGAACAACAAATGATTAAACTGAAAAATGTAGCTCACAAAACATACCTATTACACTTTCGTTTTTGTTTCCTTCTGTCACTGTACAAAGAGATTAAGTACACTCTAAAAACATCCTGGTTAAAAATAAGCAGGATGTGGTTAAATCTTAACCAGGAAAGTATTCCAAATGGGACCAACGCAATCCTGGTTATTTTAACAAGGAATCTGGGTTAAATTAATTAACCCTTATTCTGGTTGAATTCAACCACGACCTAATGTTAAAATTTTGACACTTTTCTCAGTTAAAATTGACTAGTTACCTAGTTAAATTCCTGTGCGATTCTTAGTGATTCATTGCGAGAGTATATTTTTGCTCAAAAAGTATATTTATTTAAGAAAAACGTTGCACGGACACAACTTACATTTAGTAAAAACTACATACAGAAGAAGACAAGTATCATGTATATTAACTACAGGTACATGCAATAGCTGGAGAAATTTAGATTTATATCAATATATTTTCAGCGTCAATGGTCTGATTACTTTATGCTGTTCTCACTGCAACAACAGCAGGTGTAGTCATCTGTTTTCCATGGTCCTCAATGCCATACAAAAACTTTTGTACAAATTCCCACGACGAACAGCTCTGCCATGGGTAATTAACATCAAGTACGTAAAATAGTTTAAAGCAAACATCTATTGCCCTCACATGATTAGGCTGCTCTAAGCCCTGGTTTTCGATTATAACGAACACTTTGCGTTGGGTTGCATCGACTACCAATTGCTAAAACAAATGGCCATCTTGAGGCTGTTTCTAAATATTTAGGTATGTTTGTACCGACCTAAAAATAATTAAGCAGTAGACTAGAGACTTTGCATCAAATACACGAGTTTATTATGCGACTACTTATATGGTGTGTCTAAAAGTGACAATATATAGCTACTTTTAGAAGAAATGCTGAGAAAAAATAAAATCAAAAACTAAGTCAAATTTTTAGTGATTTTGCCACTTTATTGTTCTCTAGCACAGCGGGTACCAAAATTTTTGAAAATGGTGATGATGTAGCATTTTGTGGAAAACAGTCCATGCATATATATTGATTTTCGTCTTTTTTAAAATAATTGATTTTTGTCACTGTTTCATATGACTTAAGGAAAACTTTCTCAGGGAAAAAAATGTTCATGTTTTCAAACATTTTACTGACAACAGCACGAGAAAATGCTATAAACTACCAAAAATCAATAATGTATGGTTTTGTTATATCTTTTTTTGCAATGGTAGCAGTCTCGCTTCAATGCGGGGGAACAAACATATTCATGTACTTAAATGTAGATATGATCTTCGCACTTTGTTGGACAAATTAAGCAATTGTCTCATGAACCTGAAAAATTCAGGTGATGAATTCAGGTCATGGGTTCGAATCCCGTTGAATCACTTGAATTTTTCAGGTTCATGAGACAATTGTTAAATTGTCCTACAAAGTACGAAGATCATATCTACACTTAATTTCAAACACCGCACTGCATGAAAACATTCTTTCGTATGACATTCCTTTCACGAGAAAACATGAACCCAACAAAATTGACTTGCTCACCACTGTGTGACTTCATAGCCCAGTTGGTCAGAGCACTGCACCGGCACCGCAGAGTTCATGGGTTTGAATCCCGTTGAGTCACCTGAATTTTTCAGGTTCATGAGACAATTGCTTTAATTGTACAACAAAGTGCGAAGATCATATCTACATTTAATTTCAAACACCGCACTGCAAAAAAACATTCTTTTGTATATTCATGTACTCATACACCAGTCTAATTTCTTTTCAAAACAATTTCCCTTTCAAAAGAAATCAGGATGGCACGACAGAATATAAGAATATGGTCCCCTTCAATTAACAATGGATTGACGCCCGTGCTTTTTTGACAAATTTGTATAATTAGGTACTGTGAATAAGTTATGAAAACATTTTTAATGGATACCGTTTGGCAATCGATAAAAGCCCATAATGCTTTATCAGTTGTACACCTCTTTTTATTCTTTCTTCCAGTAGGAAAAACACATGGAAGGAGACCAATCGCAGCATTTCTTTTCTCTTCATCTATAAGGTAGTTTATAAATAAAAGTGTTTTTGGAGCTTAGATGAAGAAAGTATTTCATGTATCACCAGGGGCGGATCTAGGATTTTGGATACCATAGGCAAAACATTATGACGTCATTCAGTGCTAAACCTATGACGTCATACTTTGCAAAACATACTACACTATTTATGCTTTCGATAAATTGTTTAAATCAAACAGTCTAATCATTCAGCTATGCAGAATCTTGTAGATCTCAATCGTATAAATACATAAAAACATTGTATATTTATACTTACATATCACAAGGTCGTTGATTTTCACTATTCAGAATATTGAATGCACACAAGACTGTTTCGCCCCATATCAGGGCTCATCAGCATGCCTAGGAACACTTTAACGCAAAACAAAAAATCGTGATCCGGCATGGACAGCCCTGTGAGAGCCGAATTAAGCAGACTGGTTATGGCGCCAGAAGTTCGCCTACACACCTTTGAAAAGGAGTTTGGTTAGAAATGGGTGACTATATGGGATATTTCATGGATGTGATATTGCTCAATTTTTCACACCATCCCAGTCAATTCCAACCCTTTACCCCCCACCTAAAAATGAGCACTCTGGTTTTTGAAGGCGCCAGAAACTCGCCTTTCACACCTTTAGCAAATAGCAAAAGGAGTTTGGTTAGAAATGGGTGACTATGTGGGACATTTCATGGATGTAAGATTGCTCAGTTTCTTACACCATCCCAGTCAATTCCAACCCTTTACCCCCACCTGTGTGCACTCTCATTTGCCAACAAATGAGCAGAATGTAAATGTAATGTAATAGTCAAAATAGAGCTTTGTATAAAGAGTCTTTGTGAAGACTAAAATTTGGTGTAAGGAAAAATTATTCTATTTATGCTTAACAATTTTGTGAAAGTAAATTTATGTCGACAACGGCCGAGTACCATACACGTACTCAGCAGTTTTAAGATTGGAATGTATATAGGGAAAAAAACCTTTATCGGGCGAGCTATTAGTTTGATGCAAATTCTATTGACGTTACTATTGTGTACAACGCACAATAAATGGTTAACATATGGACATTTCAACAAAATAAAAAACTAGGATATGAATAAATTCATGCAAATTTTAGCCTTGTATTTCCAACAGCAAAAGTATTAATAACCTCACCAATATCTGGTACAATTTCCTGATGAATTTGCATCAAGGCCAAACCATTTAAGCGTTCCCCAACCATGGTACTTCGCTGATAGTTTTTAAGTGTCCTAAGGGAAGAAATAGATCGTTCACATTCACAAGAGGTAATGGGGAGCGTTCCTAAAATACGTAGTAAAATTTTAATGTTTTCAAATCCGGCGAAATGAACAGATTTTAAAGTCTGGGCAATGTTATCAGGAAGGAGGCCGCAGTGGGTCTCCCAATAAGTGTACCACAACCTAAGTTCAGCATCTAAGGCCAAAGGATTTGGCAAATCATCATAATAAAAGTTAGCCACAGTTTTGAATGGCTCTTTCCAATCCACCCCATCTCTTGTCATGGACATCATTTTCGTCGGTACAATGCTAAGGCCTTTATAGACATTCACACTCTCAAGGTCGAATCGTGATTCTAAAGAAGATTGCAAATGATCTAGTAGAGGAAGAGTAATTGCACGTTTATAATACTCAGAAATGGTTGTGTGGGGAATATTTTCCCTGGTCGTTTGTTTGCGCACTGTTCTTGGTTTCCATTCTTCAATGCCAACTTTTGCTGCCAGTTCAAGCGCTTCGTCATACCAGGTGTCATGATAAAATCAGAGGAATTCCTCATGTTCACCACCTCAGTTTTCAAAGTTGAAATTAAATGAATACCATCCATTATATCGATACTCTTACCCTGTAATAACTGTGTTACTGGAAGAGTTGAATCAAGAATATTTCTCGTGATAACTAAAGCAACGACGAAATCAAACCTGTCAATAAGTTGAAACAAAGATGAGGCATCAGACTGAAGCGACGGTTTGAACTCACCATCTAGATTTTCAGACATATCGTTAAGGGTGGTGTATACAGGTACAAAAGCTCTTGGAATGTATCTAAACCTTCGATACGTTCTACCCATCTAGTTTTGCAAACGTCTGTTAATCTAGTCTTTTCGAGTTTGTTTCTGAATTACGTATATGTTTTCAAAGGGAATATTGCGAGTTTGGGAAATTTTAATAAAATTAGTGGCATTGTTAACATGTTTCAACATATCATTGACAACACGTATACTCAAAGAATCGCAAATGGATAAGTTTAACCTATGACTATAGCAGTGTGTATAAAGAGCCTTTGGGTTAAGCTTTAAAATTTGAGCTGCTAGACCATTAGTGCAACCAGCAACTGAACCAGCCCCATCATAACCTTGCCCCCTACAATCATCTATTGATAAAGTCAGTTCCTTTAGAGCCTCTAAAAGTAGCTTGGCAAGTTGAGCACCACTTAGTCCCCACTTACAAAAAGAAATGAAATGAATTCTTCCCTGATATTCATATCGGTATCAACAAAGCGCAAAACAAGAGACATTTGTTCTTTATGTGAAGAATCAGATGCTTCATCAGCAATAACAGAAAAAACTTACTTTTTGATATCAGAAATAATCTGATTACTGATTACCTGGCCACAACATTTAATGATTTTATTTTGACTTGTTTTAGAAATATAACTTCTATTCTTACCACAATTCTTTAAATGATTTTCTAAAACTTTATCCCCTCTCCTAACTCCATAATTGAGTGTTTCAATGAAATTACCAACCCCTCCAGATGAATAACAACCAACAGTAGGGTGATACTTGGAATCATCACGATGCCCACGAAGAGGTAAACCTAGACGTCCACAAAAAATGACAGAATCAATAATTGGAGATAGTATTTCCCTATTCTGTTCTATTTCTTTCTTGATACCAGCATCCATGATCATCTCGATAGGCTGCAGAGTACCTGATATTTGGGAACGCAAAGCATCAAAATTGGTGATGTGGATGCATGCAAACCGACTTCCTCCCTTTACTTTTTCCAGCATGTTGAGTGAAAGAGCATTTAGCATTCTTCCAATCTTGAAGAGGTTCAGTAAACAACTTTTTACTTTACTGGCCTTGCCTGGGAATCTATTGCCAAACAACACACGATAGACAATACGCACCATTTTGTGAAGGTGAATAGCAAAGCCATTCATGCTGGTCTAGCCAATCATGCCTAAATGATCTGCCATTAGATTTAGGAAAATGATACTTTTTATCTGGTTTATATACATTTTTTATCAAATGACATATTTCAGAATTATCCATACCCTTAACTTTCTCCCTATACAAGGAAACATCAAAATTATGGGTTAAAACAGCAGGTTGCATATCACCAGAAGTTGGAATACCAGGCAATAGTTCCTGGGATGATGTGTGAAGCAAAAGACTATTGGCTTTATTTAATGTCTGAGCAAGAGCTGCAGCAGAAGAAAAACTCTCATTGGGCATCCTTTAAAAGTTGGTTGGGCAGCAGGCCTATTAGTTGAAGTAAAAAATTTGAAATGTCAACTGTTTTGGTGCAATATTTGGAAAAATTTTGACAAATTTTCGTTTCTCTGTTGTTGAGCTGCTAGAATTAGACTGTGTACAGGAATTAGACAATTTTCGCTTCAACCTGTGGGCATGGAAAATGAGAGGCACAAAATGATTAGACTGAAAAGTCTCACCTGGTTGTACAGATCCTTCATGACAAAACAAAATATTAATAGCATCCAAACCTCTTTGGCTTAATAACGGGGCTGAACAATACGATTAAATAACAATTTATATCTACTTTCACCAGAATCAGGATAAAAAGTATGAATTTTTCTACCTAAAACAGAAGATAGGCCCAAAATACAAAGAAAAGATGACCATTTCTGGTCATTACAATTTAAAATAGCCTCCTGTTTTACCAGTTCATCTGTTGTATATCCAGTGTCTAAACATTCTTTAGACACTGACAAAGGCAAAAGATTGTTTAAGCTTTGGGCAAAGTAATCACTGTGCTCACTTATAACAGACAAAAGCATGGGTGTTGAGCATAAAAGCAGCATGAATAAATAGCTCAAGCGATGTTAAAATTCGCAAAGTAGGGACCAATGCATTGTTACCTACCAGAACTAGGGAAGCTGAACTGTAGAGGCAATTGCCAGAAGCTTCAGATCTTAAAAAATATTCAAGAAAAGAAATTAATATTTTGTTTGGTAGATTGATTGCATTGTATGAATGAATTGCTGACTGTAGACAAAGATATAGCCTAGCGAAATTGAGATTTAACCATTTTACACGTATATATAAATACTACAATACGATATATATAATTATAATATATTTACCTTATTGCAGTACAAGTCTTTCCGTCATGAGCGTGCTTTGGCACATATATTTCAGCTCCAAAATTTCGACACAGAGTATGGTCGGGGTCATAAATTCTATCTAACAGCTGCTCGTTAGTAAACATAGGTCGAACGTCGACCAATAAACGAGAATAAAGCTCATTAAGGCATTTTAAATCGTTTTTGGCCAACGCAGACTGAGCAGTCTCGTATAAATTACCACAACACAATGAAGACATTATAAAATATCACAAAACCGTAAACTGAGCACAGAGGCTGTTCAGAAACAATACGAGTGTATGTTAATTTTCAATTGCCTAATTTGCCTAGCTCAACTATGCTTATCAACAGCAATGATTGGTTGGAATTGCTCAAGTTAGGCAAAAAATTGACCAATGAAAGCATACGGTTGCAAAAATTGCCCAATCAGAATACCTATACACGATGTCAAGTTAGGCAAATTCATCTTGTTTAGGCAAATTGCTAACAACCAATCAAATGGCTAGATCGCCTTCTTGACTTAGGCAAAATGGCTGCTTTGCCTAACGACACGGAGCTTTATAGATAATCATACGCATCTGGACTACGATTCATATCAAAATTACGTCATTTAATTGCACAACATTTCTAAACAAAAGTCAGATGATTTGACTGCGATAAAGTGCTATTCATAGTTTCATAATTCGATAAATTCGTATCGAATCTAAGTCGAAGTATATTTTGGTAATTTCACCATAGGCACTTGCCTATGGTGCCTACCCCTAGATCCGCCCCTGTGTATCACATATGTTTCATGCATCATGTAACCGTTTTTGCAATTTTTACGGGAATTCAGGTTTTTTGTTGCAATATCCAAGTATTTTATCCATTTTTCTGTTTGTGTATCTGCGTAACAAAATATTTTCTCTATTGTTTCTGGTGTAAATCGCAAAAAAAGATTATCCGCGACACCTAGATACAACGTTGCAAAGTCTATTTCAACCTGAATAAATTTTTGAAAAACATTTGGTCAGCCGTACAAGATGATGTATAACGAAAGAACGTTTAAGAATTTTTTTACCATACCAGGGACATCAAAAAGACGAGGGTATTCTTTCATATCTTTTCGTATTATAAGTTGTGGCGTTTTTCTAATTCATTCTGATCAATTTAAGACGGTCTTCTGCATATAACTTTTTAGGGTTGAGATAGGCTCCCAGTTGTCTTTCATCCACTGCTTCATTCCAGCATGGTCAGATTCATTTAAGATTGGTTCTTTTTAAGAAAAAAAAAGCAAATTTTCTACAAGCACCATCAAATAAACTTTAATTGACGATTTTAGCCTGGTAGAGATCTTTCCAAGTGTTTTAGTGAAGTTGAAGTTGAGCAAAATTCTTGTTCAGTCTGACGGTGTTTTATGCTCTTTCTTCTAACATTTCTAAGCCGTTCTTCCAACCACCCTGTAGCCGAATAAATTCCCTTCTCTGGCGTGTACCAAGCTTACTAAAAATTGAAAAAGCGATCACGTACAAGAAAGAAACAAACATTTGTAAAATACATCATTTGATTCCAAATCAAAAGTTAAACGTAAGGAGAAACGCGTACATATCCTTGACCCTCTTCGTCTTTAAGGAAAGGAAACTGCTCTACCGCTGCCTTTGCTATTTGGATTTTGATGTCTGCATGAGGCCTGTATTTTAGAATTATTTAAATTTTAACTTGTATGTTGAACAATTCAGAACTTTTACAGTAGCGTGCATGTGTACTTATGACGTCATTGGAAATGTAAGCAATGTCAAATTTCGGATTTTCAATCTCACATTATAATAATTTCATAGAAAAATTTTGCTTCTTTCCTCTAAAAAATTTACCTTTTTCTAGAAAGTATAAACGATGCTTCATTGCTAACATCTCATTTTACCATTGTGTTAATTTGTACAACTCTTTGATTTTCGATTTTCACGATTTCTTACTGTTAGGATGACATCATAGGTAGACTTGCATGTTGCAGTAAAAGTGGTGAATTTAGTCCTTCATATTTTTACAAACCTTTCTCCAAACTGATTAATTATGTAAGCCACTAGTATCTGAACCATCTTGATTCTGCTTTTTCTGCTTAACTTATCCGTATCCAGTTCGCAAATCACTTGAACACCAACTTCGGACTCTTCCAAAATCGATTTGATATTCTTTAAAATATGTGAATGAAACTATAAAAAACTGCTTTTAGATGTTTGTACTCTCTTTGAAATTACGGTTGCTATGGCGTTGCTAGGTATGCTTTTCGTGTACTGATTCAATTGTCCAAATTCAGAATTAAGATAGCATTGGTATACCTGAAATTTGATTTTATTCAATAGTTTGATTCGTGGTCCAATAGGAATCTTCATCTCCTTCAAGGTTTCTTCGTTTAAAATGAGAAAAGCCTCCTCGTCAATCATATTTTCTAAAAAAATGCAATTCGAAAAACATCCGTTTCCAGAAGAAAAAGCTCAAAAACAAAAGAATACAGATAAAGCTAAGTACTAAATAATATAGACACTGCATTTATTTACCTTCAAAAACATCTTTCAAGCAGGAAAGATTCCATTCTTTAAGTTTTTCTTTAACCCAATTGTCCATAATCCTTTTTTGATGCGGATGAAACTTTATAGTTGTACTTGTTGGTACAGTTCAAAAGAGATAGAGTAAAAAAGGCGGAAAAACTGCAAATCGCAATTTGACAATCGTTACTTATCGTCAAATACTGAAGGGTGCTCGCTCGTGTCATGTGACTGTTCATTGATCATTATCGTTGATTATCGTTCGGTTGATTATTTTCGTTCGTGTATTACTATGTATGACTTTGTACTTACTTGCTTGTAATTCGAAGCTTCTGGCTTTTCATATTATTCCAGAGATTTTGGTATTACATTTATATTCAAGTCTAGAATACTGTGAGATGGTTGGTTATAATCGATGATGAAAACAATGTCATATTTTGATTTGTGGCGTCAGTCAGGCAATAATTTTCTCATCAACTGAAGTTCGTGGACCAGATGGCATTCTTTGAATAAGCTAAGATGCTTTTGTCAGTACAAAGTGTTTGAAGATAATAATTGACGGTGTTATAATCAGTTATAATCATGGAAATTCTTTACTATATGAGTTAAAGGTATATTTAATTCAGAAGGTTGTTTTCTCAAATTTCAATGTTTCTAGTTAACTGTTCTTCTAGCTTCACTAATCTTTATAATGATCAGGTTCTGATGACCGGTGAAGCTAGTTTCAGGCCAAGTACCTCACAGGTCTCGAATACAAGGGTGGCCGAGGATTAATAATAACTAGTAAGAGGGAACAAATATTTATAAATGCCTGTTTTACTGTCTTAGTTTCTATTTAAATCAATTGCCATTAGAGATTACATAACAAAAATACATGAATTTAGGCATCCCAGTTATCAATCCTCCATTGCCCTTACTGGAATCACAGTTCATACTTTATCAAGCATGTAGTGTGACTCTATCATTCAGCTCTTCCTGTGTGACTTGTCTACAAAGATAGTAAATTATTAAAGTTGTCGTGCATTTCAAAACTCATATAAATTGTCATGAATATTTGTAGCTCTGAGAGAAAATGTTGTGCCTTTGGCGATTGTACCTAGTATTAAGACAAACACTACTTACCATGAAGACAATGTATTTTAGAATTGAGATGAAATTATAATTTGTGAAACTATATTTGATATATTATTTTGTTTTATACTCAAGTGTCTGTCTATTTGACTGTTCTTCTCCTGGCTTCTCAGACCAATATCATGACCAGGCTCTTATGGGTAAGGCTAGTTTGAGGACAATTCTCTTAGGTCTGCCATCACAGTTTATAAAGGCTTAAGCATAGACTCGAAACGATTATTTAGCTTTTGTTGCGTGACAAGTCTACCAAAATTGTCAATTTTTCAGGGAGTCAATCATTCCAAAATTATTGCTTAGATTTTCATGAGTAAATTTATAACTGTCAGGTACAAAATGGAGTCCTTGAGAAGACTGCAACTGGTATTTGGTGCAATAACTTAAAACACTTACAACAATCATAATTGTTCAAAAATACACTGATTAGAATTACACTGATTATTTTTAAATATGGTAGCACTTGGTTGTTTGCTAACTTTTAAATTTCAACACCAACAAAGCTGTACCGTTGATGAATGTAGCTATTAATTTTATTAATTCTAATGGAAACATACTTGTACTTTGGAATTCTCATCACTAGTTTTGATCTAAATCTTTATTACATGAAAATATGACTTTTCACTAAAACTTTATTGCCTAAGTTCAAAGTATCGAGCGGTTCTTGCACTTCTCGATCAGCCATTTTTCTTTCCCCATTTCATGAAAGCTTAACAAAGCAGTTGCTCTCAGTCTCAGATGACAGGTTTTTCTTCATTATTTATCTCAGGTGGCTGTCCAACACCGGAATTCGCACAAATTTGTTTTGTTTGCTATGATCAAATGATCCAAAGAAGCATACGTATTCTCAACTAATTATTTAAGATCATTGATTTCATTTTTACAATGTGTTTTTTAGATATTTTATGAGGCATTTCAGCGACGCTTTACAAAGCGAAAACTGTTCAATTACTGAATTGTTGATTGGTAGAAGTAATCTTTCAAATAAAAGCAACGAATATGTGAGTGAAGCTTTAAAGGGCTCAAATTGCAAGCTGACCAAGTTAACTTACGTAAGAACTAAAATTTCCACTAGAGGTGTCGAGGTTCTTAGTGAAGCTTTAAAAAGTAAAAATTGTGAACTTACTGAATTGAGCATTTATAACACAAAACTAGAACACAACTTTGCGAAATACCTTAGCGAACCTTTGCAAAGCGAAGATTGCAAATTGACTAAATTAACCATCTATAATTATAACATGTCTGATCATTTTACTAAATGCATTGCTGAAGCTTTAAGTAATCCATGTTGTTAAATTACTGAACTAAAAATTCTTGGTAGCTATACAACCGATCTTTGCATTAGATACCTTAGTAAAGCCTTAAAAGTGAAAACTGCAAACTAACGAAATTGGATGTTAACATCTTTCAAATTACCAATGAAAGTATGAAAGATTTTAGTGAAGCTCTTGCATCAGAGAACTGTAAACTTACTTCTCTAAGAATTAAATGTTCTAATTTACCAGATCATTGTGCTGAATATATTAGTAAAGCTTTGAAAAAGGAGAACTGCAAACTAAAAAGATTGCTCATAATGACAGTTAATCATTGTTCATAATGACATCGTTGAAGAAAGTGCCAAAGAACTTAGTGTAGCATTAGAAAGTAAGAATTGTAAACTTACCACTGTGAATATTCACATTTCGCAACGAACAGATCATTTCCTGAAACATCTCAGCAAAGCTTTAGGGTGAGAAATGCAAACTAACAAACTTGCTTATAAGTTGTGCTGAATTGACTGAGGAAGATGCCAAAAAAATAAATGAAGCTTTACAAAATGAAGATTGTAGACTGACTAAATTAGCAATAAGTGGTAGTTTTGTTACATATATTTTATCAAATATTTGAGCGAAGCTTTGAAAAGCAAAAATTGCAAGCTGAAAAAACTGTATGTAGGGGATGTAGAAATGACAGATGAAGTTGCAATTTTTGCTTTTCAAATATTAAGATCTTAATGCAGCTTTAGAAAATAAGAATTGTAAACTTATTGGTTTTGAAATTAATGATATTGAGGTAATACATGAAGGTACTAAATGCTTTAGTGAAACCTTAAAAAGTGAGGATTATAAATTTATTGGTGTAGGACTTCCTGGATGCGTATAACAAAGCAAACGTTTTGAATAGCTTCGAAAAACCTCGAAAAACAGGAATTAATTGAAAAGCTCTCATCTTTTATCGATTTTGAGGTTTTTCAAATTTAAGGTCTAGTGGCATTGTGATACATGAAAAAGCTTGTTTATTCAAAGTCAAGATAGGCAGCAGTTGTCATTCGCGATTCAGATATTTGCTATTCGGCTTTAAACATTTCTTTGCGTCCATTTCCTTTTAATGTTAAAGTGTTATCAATTTGTTTTTTTCTTACCCTAAATCTCAGCAACACGTACATGCAAGTTTCCTTTTTTGTGGATATAAACTAGAGTTGGGAACAAACCTTTATAATGATTATTTACATATTACAATATTGTCTTAGCACTTTTCTTTGCTAGTCTCCAATGCAAATATTGCTGCAAACATACGTAAGACATGATTAGTTTTGTAAATTGAGCTTTGTTATGAGCTTCATAGTTAAAGTAATGATTTTGAGCAATAATGTTTTTCCTTGTAAATCACTAGCATTGTGTAATGCACGCTATCCTAATGTACACACAGCCTCATAAATTCTTCTGGCGTTCCTCTAAAGTTAAAAAAAAGTTTTCAAAGTGCTTATGGAAAACTGTCAGCACTATGTGCTTGTTCAATACTAAACTTATCATACCTTTGCTGCAAAGTGTTTCAAAGTTCGGATTACGAATGAGATGCCTCCCTATATTATAAATCTTTGTGGTACACGCTTCTTGAAAATTTTCAAAAGTTAACACCATCTCTTCCCCTTCGCGTATGTTAGAAGATATATGGGAGCTTTAATCTCATTAATGTAATGTGTAACAATTATTTACGTTTGTCAGTTCACGATTTTTGCACAAAATAAATGATATTCTGACTAAAAATTGCCTTTTCACGCATTTTGAATTTAACTGCTCCTACTTCCTTCCAGACTGGCATTCGTTGTATTGTTTCAATCGTCCAATCCACTTCCCTGCTCTGATTTTGTTATCTTATCAAAGTACTGTCAATGGTAAACTTACATACATTATCTTATTGCCTGTTTTGTAGATTATCTGTCTGGTTCAGTAAAAGAACAATTTGAAAAAAACTTGGGTGAGATAAGTTTAGCCTCGATTAAGCAACAAAGCAATGTCATTATAGAAGTAGAAATTGAAGAGTAAATTAAGTAACATTTATTTGATAAAATAGTAACATATGATCTTCAGAAATCGAAAAAAAACAAGTCATACTAAATGAAGTCATGATAGCACTTCAGTAAGACGCAAACCGTAATGCAGGCTCATATATTTGAAGAAAACGCAACAGTTTTTACTTTTTGGTTTGAGTGGGTAATGTAATGGTTTAAGCTTTCAAATTAATATTTGAGTTCAAGTAGAAGAAACTTTGCAAATATTCAGAAATAAGCGAGTGATGTTGTTAATCGTTCAAATCTTTTGTCTAAAAGCTTCTTAGTCAAACTGGGTGAACTCTAACTATATGATTCACGGAAAAAGGCACATAAAACCTTACCATGTATGTATTCAACAGAATAAACTCACAAGGCGCGTAAAATGCTCACGTTTGGATTGGTTTTATTGCTTGAATGAACAGTGCTCGCAATGAAATTGCATTTGCATTACAGTGTAACAAAGAAGTCATGCTATGATAAAATTCTCATGCTTGTTGTCTGCATAAAACGTGGTGTGTTTATATTAATCGTGTGCTTTCTCACAAAAGACAAATGCCTCGTACACTAGCAAATTTAATGCAAGACAACAATGCCACAGTAAAAGAATATATTTAACTACAACAACCATATTTAATTTGACAATACTAATGTACTACATCGTTCCTTGTACCAGAAATCGTCGTTCAAACACTTCCTACAAAACATTTTGAGAAAAATTAGTTTCACGTTTTGACTTTGTTGACATAAGTTATGGAATATTTAGCATTATTAGATAGTATTAATTCAATTGCATCTTGGGATTGTTATTATGATGAACACTTGGTCAACTGCTATTATTGTGCATGCGGTTATTTTGTTATTTTGTTACTCGTGCAACCGTTATATGACAGGCTGTCAAACATTTGTTTTGAGTAGTCTCTCTAACGATTCAACAGAAGGAATTATGAAAAGAAAACACACTACTTCGTGAATCATGAAACACTGGCTGTTATAGAAAACTCTATACCTTTGTAAAAACAGTAGTTGACACCAGGTATGCTGTTATCCCAGCAACATTCTCTCTTTTCACATTCGCTTTTATCTATTCCTAAGTATCCGCAATCAATTCTGTCTTGTGGTTTTACAACATCGCAAGCACTACCTATATGTGTGTGAATCCATAGTCGAAATATTTATAGCAGCAATGGTCGAAGTTTTGCAAAACACTTCTTAAAACTTTGCAACAATGTGAAGATTACAGTGATATTAAGTTTTTATGACTTGTCAAGGTAAATAAGAATTTTACTTATGAGAAGGAATTATATAAAGTGTTTTGGTATACTTTGGTAAAAACACCAGGGAACTCCTTCATAGCTTTTGTCCCAACAGCAGCCTTTTGTCAAACATTCCTTTTCCTTGATTCCATAGTAACCGCAATCTAATCGCTGCGTCGGGTCCACCGATTTGCACTCGCTGCCTAAAATATAATAAATACCCTGTACAAAGACTTGCAATAAAATACATGGGTGTTTTAATTTCACTTTAACATAGCAAAAAAGAGGTTAATTAAATTGCTTTTCAATCGAAAGTGGGTTTATAAACGACCATTTTGGTTTGT